CTGTAATCTCTAGGATCTGACTGGCAAAAATGCAGAGTGTTGGTGAGAGAGGATGAGTAAATGAAAATTCTGAAGCGTTTTCGAAATTTCGTGTATTCTCCTCTCTCTCTCTCTCTATCTCTCTCTCTCCTCTCTCTTCTCTCATCTCTCTCTCTCTCTCTCTCTCTCTCCTTCTCTTTCTATCTTACTGAGACATCCGTGGGGTGGTATAAAATATAAATATACAATTGGTAGATTATTGTTTTTATTGGGCAATAATAATGTCCATAAATAAATAGATTACATTCCGTTCGGTGTAAAGCTGGTCATGGGCTTTGGTTATATCCTTCCTCACTGAGGGAACCCGTAGGAGATGCGCCTGGGGCGGCATACTGGGTCGTGGGGGGTGTACAACGGGAGATCTCCAACTGACTCACGGGGACTCGGGGCGGAGTACACGGGTCTGGGGGCCACGTATTCGCGAGACTCCACAGAGTCATAGCGAGCCTCGCCCTCGTACGTCACGATGTCCGGCAACGTTATCCGTTGTCGCCGTCACACGTAGTAGGTGACCTTCTGCAGGCGGCCGTCGGGGAGCTGCACGTAGTAGGATCCTGGTGTTGTGTCCACGTCGCGAGGGACTCCTGGTGTCCGAAGTCGTTGCCGGAGTCGGAGTCCTTGACAGCCCAGTTGAAGTCGTACTTGGCATCAAAATCGTAACTCACTGAGTCCTCGAAAGATCCCTAGGGAGGGAGGAAAAGATTACAGATTTATAAGCAAGCGGTAAACATGAAATTTTTCACGAACAGTTGAAAGGTCATTTTGAAGTAAAATGAGAAAGTTTCGGTTATTGGTTATCACTCTTCTGATGAGACAATTGAACACAAACCTGTGGTGGCAGAGTAGGAGTAAGCTGGGAGCTTTATCGCGCAGCAGCCACGGCCACCAAAGCCAGTGCAATCAGTACCTGTCATGGGAAAATATTTATATGAGTAAAATACGAATAACCTCAAATCAAGACTGCTCAAGAAATACATTCTGACAATCAGCACTTGTCAAAAACTTATTTCAGAATTTCTCAAATGACAAATGTTAACGATATAAAGAAATGAGAACACTCATTGCTCACTATTGGTTGTTGACAATAGTGAGCAAGCATGTCCAACCAACAACAGCTGGATTTTATCACTGAAGTTCTAGCCTATTCGCATTAATAATTGACCTTTTAAACAAAGGAAATAGTATGGTACTCCTTGCGTATCATAGCTCGAAATCGGCTCCCGGTGTGACTGTGGCTCCCTGATCTGGAACGCTACGCGCTTATTTTAAAATTGCGCAGCCTAATGACGTCACAGATAGCCGTGCCACCCCCCTCACGCAGCCTATACGAAACCCCGATGCCATTACGAGATGACACCGATTCTCAGCCAGTACAGTATCGTGATAAGACGAATTAAAACTCGACCTACAAATTGGCTGGCTTTTTTTGTTTTTTATATCTTTTCCTTTCCAAGAACCTGGTTTTGGGCTGTGGCTATTATTGGTCAGTTTTCTCTTACAGAGACTTATGTTGATAACTAATATAATTGCAACGTCATTAAAGGCAAAAATCAATTTACAATATTTGCAATAATTCTATTAATACATCATCATCTGACAATGATCACTATATACTAGTATCAGTAGTTGTGTCAGCATTGCGAAATAATGAACTACACTACAAGCAAAGAACATCATACCTATTATATACATATACTATATATACTCTATATATTTATCTAGGTATATATATATATACTATATATTATAGTTAATGTTAGATGTTATTATACGCACTGTTCTATATGCTCATATATTTGAATACATGTTGTATCATTATAGTATATATATTGCGCTATATTGATTACATACCCTATATTCAATATATCTCCAATGGGACTCGTGTGTGTATATATTTTGTGGACGTGAGTTGGGCGTTGGGTTGTTTGTAAGCACATTGTGCTCAAGTGCAATAAAGTAACCAGATTAAACACAATCATACATGTGTGTTTGCTGTCAGGTCGGCTTGCGATGTATGTTGGTGGTATGTGCTGCTGTATGGTGTGTGTCGTTATGTGTGTGTCGTATAGTGATGGTAGTAGTGCTGTGTGAATCGTAGTGGATGTGTGTGGTGCTGCTGACAATAAGTATTGTTTTTGCATATTTCTCACAACTTAGTATATTAATTACGTGCAATATATGTGATGTGCATTGATACAAACGAAGCACACATACTACATCACACAAGTAATGATGCATGTAGTGTATATATATAATATATATATTGCTATAGTATACGACTGTTTGTGTGTCGTGGCTTGTGGTATATGATATATAGGGTATCTATTATTATATATATAGTGCGATAGTTGTAGATGATGGTGTAAGTGTGATGTTGTGTGTTGTGTGTGTATGATGGTGTGGATGTGTTTGTTGTGTGTGATGTGTTAAGTGCATAAGTTATTGTACGATATTACATTTATATAGAATAAAAATGAAATAAGTCATATGTACGGTCATATATAGAGGATAATATATATTATATAAATATATATCAATAACTTATACTACCTAGGTTATAGTATAATCTAATATATAACCTTCAAACCATTGCTTACCATAGTGGGCATTCCAAAGTAATAAGATAATTTAGTACCCACACTTCCTGAAAAAATAATACACCCTCACGGACAAGTTTATCCTTTTGTTTTGTTTTCATACAGTTATGAAGCCACCTTCATTGTCATGTATCTCTAACTGGTCAGCACGAATGAACAAGATCGAGAAGAGTGAATAAAATAAGCAGCTAGTGTAGAACTAGCAGAAGCATGTAGTATACGTTAGAATGATCTTAATTAGTATATCATTTATGCGCATGGTACTGGTAGCACACAACTTCTAAAAATTATTTAAAGAAAGCTTCTTATTTAGTACTTCACCCCATATTACACTGCCAGATAGTATATATTGCTACTCCTCTATTTTGAAATGGCTAGTGAAGCCACTATGATACATATGTGTGGTGATGTGATGTGTGTGTGACCTTATTTACTATTACTAGGAATAACTGAGAGTATTTTATATATGCTATGACTGTTATCAGGAGTCGATATGTGTTGATTCTGTTTGTCTGTAGCTTTGGAACGAATATTTGTATAGAAAGGAAATGTGATGATTTTTTCTTTTTGTACCTACGAATATATTGTAGACGAAAGAAAAAAAATAAAGAAAGGAAAGAACTGGGAATATACCTACATTACCAAGTTGTATTTAGTAGTGTATGTGTATGATGTAATATGAACCCCGATTATATCATTGTAATGTAGTACACATTATTATTTTATTAAAGACTTTTAAACTATGTAATTTTTGCTAGGTGTGTTTGGTTGAATGTGTGTGTCTGAATGGTCTCGTATGTTGAATTTTGGTTGCTATATGTGGTGTTGGCAGAAGACTTATCATTGTATATGTGTGTGTGTTCATGTAGTGATGTGGTTAAAGTAATACCTACGATGCGTGCATATATTTAGTATATACCTCATCCATCATAGTATAGTATATAGTGAGATAGAAATCGATAGTATAGTAATAATAATTCACTGGCGAGACTGAAGGTAGATAAACTAACATGAAATTGACATATATTAATATCTTATTATTATAATTTATATATATACTATATCACTATTATAAGTAATCTATGCATATATATATATTATAATATATTATATATTAGATTAAATTAATATATCATATATATATATATATATGATATATATTACAATATTAATATATATATATATATGTGGCACTATATATATACTAATGATGCCATATCCCTGAATATAGTACCATAATATATATAAAGTATTTATGTATCTATACCTATTATATAGTTTTCATATTAGCCCTATACCAGTACTAGAAATAGTTGGCATAGTATCATATCATATATAGTATATAACTATAATACCTCTAGTGAGTCATAATATATCAAATTCATATTACTTAATTACTATATATATGCATATATATCTATATATATATACTGTGTGTGTGTTGGTGAGTGTCGTGAATCGTGATCCGTGTGTGTGTAGCTGAGATACGATGTAGTCGTGTGGTGTGTGCTGTGTGTGTGTTGTGTGTGGTGTGATTTATTAATAACGACATACGTACAACAGATTTTTTACCTTTCTAATATCCTAAAATTTTAATCACACAAGGTACTCGTCGTCAATGATTTGCCGTCAATGATCTTAGCTGTTGACTCAGAAGATGATTATTTAAGTACATCAGCAATCGTAGTTGCAGCAACAGTTGTCATCTCCATTCTTCTTTACCTCTTCAGTTCTCTTCCCTTCCGATTCCCTCTTGATTTCGCTCTGTCAATTTCCTGAATCTTGCCATTTGTTCTATCTTGTTAGAACTGTACTGTAACTCTACTTATGAAAGTAAAACACCAGTTTCGCCGCCAAATTCGCTCTGTCATATATCCAAACCACTTTTTTTAAACGCTTAGCTATTCCACTTTGCAAAATCACTGTTGTGATATGGCATGTCGACACCTCGAGGAAAAGCAGTGTCACATGAATGACTCGCATTCAACATTTCAGAGAGGGTTTGGGTTCCTTACAGCAAATTAAGTATGTCCGCA